CTGGGAGGCGCAGGTCGGTGGTGTGGGTCAGTCCATGGGTCGCTATGGGGTGCTGTGGGTCAGTCCGTGGGTCGCTATGGGTCAGTCCATGGGTCGCTATGGGTCGCTATGGGTCGCTGTGGGTCGCTATGGGGTGCCGTGGGTCAGCGCTGGGAGCGCAGGTCGGTGGTGTGGGTCAGTCCATGGGTTGCTATGGGTCAGTCCATGGGTCGCTATGGGTCGCTATGGGTCGCTATGGGTCGCTATGGGTCGCTATGGGTCAGTCCATGGGTCGCTATGGGTCGCTATGGGTCGCTATGGGTCGCTATGGGGTGCCGTGGGTCAGCGCTGGGAGCGCAGGTCGGTGGTGTGGGGGTCGTGCTGGATGGTTTGGTGCAGCATCAGCGCCAGCAGCCCCGCCCGGTTCGTCATGGCCGCCGCACGTTGCGCTCCTGCTCGAAGAGCTCGTCCAGCTTGTACCACTGGGGGGAGGGCAGCCGGGGGGGAGGGGACACGGGGGGGATGGGGGGCAGCAATGGGGGGATGGGGGAAGGGACATGGGGGGTATGGGGGATGGGACAGGGGGGCAGGGACATGGGGGAGGGGCAGCCATGGGGACATAGGGGGCAGCAATGGGGACATGGGGGGGAGGGGGGATGGGACATGGGGGGGATGGGACATGGGGGGGATGGGGGGCAGCAATGGGGATGGGGGGAGAGACAGCAATGGGGACATGGGGGAGGGGGGATGGGACATGGGGGGCAGGGACATGGGGGAGGGGCAGCCATGGGGACATAGGGGGCAGCAATGGGGACATGGGGGGAGGGGGGATGGGACATGGGGGGCAGGGGACATGGGGGCAGGGGCAGCCATGGGGACATGGGGGGAGGGGGGATGGGACATGGCGGGGGATGGGGGGCAGCAATGGGGATATGGGGGGGGGAAGCAATGGGGACATGGGGGGATGGGGGGGTGGGACACGGGGGGGATGGGGGGCAGCATGGGGATGGGGGAAGGGACATGGGGATGGGGGGCAGCAATGGGGATATGGGGGGGGGAAGCAATGGGGATGGGGGGGCAGCAATGGGGACATGGGGGGCAGCCGTGGGGATGGGGTGGGGAAGCAATGGGGATGGGGAGGGCAGAGACATGGGGGGCTCAGCCATGGGGATGGGGGGGGGATTCTGGCGCCCCCCCCCCCCCAGCATCCCATTGGTGGCCCTGGGGTGCCCGCAGAATCCCATTGGTTCCCTGCTGCTCCTCTGCCATCCCATTGGTGCCCTTGGTATCCCCCCCATCCCATTGGTGCCCTTTCTGTACCCCCGAATTCCATTGGTTCCCTTGCTCCCCCCTCCTCATCCCATTGGTTCCCTTACTCCCCCCCCCCCCCCCCCAGCCCCTGCATCCCATTGGTTCCCTTGCTCTCCCCTCCCCAATCCCATTGGTTCCTTTCCCTCCCAGCACCCTATTGGTTCCCTTGCCCCCCCCCCAATCCCATTAGTCCCTTTCCCCCCCCAACACCCCATTGCTTCCCTTCCCTCTCCCCATTGGTTCCTTACCCTCCCCCCCCCTCCCCCCCCCACTGGTTCACTTCCCCCCTCCCTTCTTGGTTCCTTACCCCCCCCCCCCCCCAACACCCCATTGGTTCCCTTCCCCCCTCCCCATTGGTTCCTTCCCCTTCCCCTCCTCCCCAATCCCATTGGTTCCCTTCCCCCCCCATTGGTTCCTTCCCCCCCCCAACACCCCATTGGTTCCTTCCTCCTCCCCCCCCATTGGCCGGGGCGGGGCAGTGGGCGGGGCTGCGCTCACCACGCGCACGCGCTCCAGGTCCACCTCCGCGCGCCGCAGCTTCTCCCAGCAGTAATGGCGGTGGCAGCGCCGCTTGGGGGCGCGGCAGAACTCGCCCGTGAGCTCGAACACGTCCCGGACCAGCGGGCACCCGCACACCTCGTCCGCGGGGACCTGGGGGGCGAGACCCACAGCGACCCATAGCGTGCGTGCGTGTGTGACCCATAGCGTCCATGGGGTGTGTGACCCATAGCGTCCATGGGGTGTGTGACCCATAGATCCGTGTGTGACCCATAGATCCGTGTGTGACCCATAGCGTCCATGGGGTGTGTGACCCATAGATCCGTGTGTGACCCATAGCGTCCATGGGGTGTGTGCCCCATAGATCCGTGTGTGACCCATAGCGTCCATGGGGTGTGTGACCCATAGCGTCCATGGGGTGTGTGACCCATAGCGTCCATGGGGTGTGTGACCCATAGCGTCCATGGGGTGTGTGACCCATAGCGTCCATGGGGTGTGTGACCCATAGCGCGCGTGCGTGTGTGACCCATAGCGTCCATGGGGTGTGTGACCCATAGCGTCCATGGGGTGTGTGACCCATAGATCCGTGTGTGCCCCATAGATCCGTGTGTGCCCCATAGATCCGTGTGTGACCCATAGATCCGTGTGTGACCCATAGATCCGTGCGTGACCCATAGCGTCCATGGGGTGTGTGACCCATAGCGTGCGTGCGTGTGTGACCCATAGCGTCCATGGGGTGTGTGACCCATAGCGTGCGTGCGTGTGTGACCCATAGCGTCCATGGGGTGTGTGTGACCCATAGCGTCCATGGGGTGTGTGACCCATAGCGCGCGTGCCGTGCGTGACCCATAGCGTCCATGGGGTGTGTGACCCATAGCGTCCATGGGGTGTGTGACCCATAGATCCGTGTGTGACCCATAGCGTCCATGGGGTGTGTGCCCCATAGCGTGCGTGCCGTGTGTGACCCATAGCGTCCATGGGGTGTGTGACCCATAGCGTCCATGGGGTGTGTGACCCATAGATCCGTGTGTGACCCATAGCGTCCATGGGGTGTGTGCCCCATAGATCCGTGTGTGACCCATAGATCCGTGTGTGACCCATAGCGTCCATGGGGTGTGTGACCCATAGCGTCCATGGGGTGTGTGACCCATAGCGTCCATGGGGTGTGTGACCCATAGCGCGCGTGCGTGTGTGACCCATAGCGTCCATGGGGTGTGTGACCCATAGCGTCCATGGGGTGTGTGACCCATAGATCCGTGTGTGCCCCATAGATCCGTGTGTGCCCCATAGATCCGTGTGTGCCCCATAGATCCGTGTGTGACCCATAGATCCGTGTGTGACCCATAGATCCGTGCGTGACCCATAGCGTCCATGGGGTGTGTGACCCATAGCGTGCGTGCGTGTGTGACCCATAGCGTCCATGGGGTGTGTGACCCATAGCGTGCGTGCGTGTGTGACCCATAGCGTCCATGGGGTGTGTGTGACCCATAGCGTCCATGGGGTGTGTGACCCATAGCGCGCGTGCCGTGCGTGACCCATAGCGTCCATGGGGTGTGTGACCCATAGCGTCCATGGGGTGTGTGACCCATAGATCCGTGTGTGACCCATAGCGTCCATGGGGTGTGTGCCCCATAGCGTGCGTGCCGTGTGTGACCCATAGCGTCCATGGGGTGTGTGACCCATAGCGTCCATGGGGTGTGTGACCCATAGATCCGTGTGTGACCCATAGCGTCCATGGGGTGTGTGCCCCATAGATCCGTGTGTGACCCATAGATCCGTGTGTGACCCATAGCGTCCATGGGGTGTGTGACCCATAGATCCGTGTGTGACCCATAGCACGCGTGCGTGTGTGACCCATAGCGTCCATGGGATGTGTGACCCATAGATCCGTGCGTGACCCATAGATCCGTGCGTGACCCATAGCGTCCATGGGGTGTGTGACCCATAGATCCGTGTGTGACCCATAGCGCGCGTGCGTGTGTGACCCATAGCGTCCATGGGGTGTGTGACCCATAGCGCGCGTGTGTGACCCATAGCGCGCGTGCGTGTGTGACCCATAGCGTCCATGGGGTGTGTGACCCATAGCGCGCGTGTGTGACCCATAGCGCGCGTGCGTGTGTGACCCATAGCGTCCATGGGGTGTGTGTGACCCATAGCGTGTGTGCCGTGCGTGACCCATAGCGTCCATGGGGTGTGTGACCCATAGATCCGTGTGTGCCCCATAGATCCGTGTGTGACCCATAGCGTCCATGGGGTGTGTGACCCATAGATCCGTGTGTGACCCATAGCGCGCGTGCGTGTGTGACCCATAGATCCGTGTGTGCCCCATAGATCCGTGTGTGCCCCATAGCGTGCGTGCGTGTGTGCCCCATAGCGTCCATGGGGTGTGTGTGACCCATAGATCCGTGTGTGCCCCATAGATCCGTGTGTGACCCATAGCGTGCGTGTGTGACCCATAGCGTGCGTGCTGTGTGTGACCCATAGCGTGCGTGTGTGACCCATAGCGTGCGTGACCCATAGCGCGCGTGCCGTGCGTGACCCATAGCGTCCATGGGGTGTGTGACCCATAGCGCGCGTGCGTGTGTGACCCATAGCGTCCATGGGGTGTGTGACCCATAGCGCGCGTGCGTGTGTGACCCATAGCGTGCGTGCGTGTGTGACCCATAGCGTCCATGGGGTGTGTGACCCATAGCGTCCATGGGGTGTGTGACCCATAGCGCGCGTGCGTGTGTGACCCATAGATCCGTGTGTGCCCCATAGATCCGTGTGTGCCCCATAGCGTGCGTGCGTGTGTGCCCCATAGCGTCCATGGGGTGTGTGTGACCCATAGCGTGCGTGTGTGACCCATAGCGCGCGTGCCGTGCGTGACCCATAGCATCCATGGGGTGTGTGTGACCCATAGCGTGCGTGTGTGACCCATAGCGCGCGTGCCGTGCGTGACCCATAGCATCCATGGGGTGTGTGTGACCCATAGCGTGCGTGTGTGACCCATAGCGTCCATGGGGTGTGTGACCCATAGCGTGCGTGTGTGACCCATAGCGTGCGTGCCATGTGTGACCCATAGCGTGCGTGCGGTGTGTGCCCCATAGCGTCCATGTGTGCCCCATAGCGTCCATGTGTGCCCCATAGCATCCATGGGGTGAGCGACCCATAGCGCCCAGGGGTGACCCATAGCACCCATGTGTGCCCCATTGCATCCATGTGTGCCATATAGCACCTATGGGGTGGGTGTGTGCCCCATAGCGCCCAGGGGTGCCCCATAGAACCTATGGGGTGTGTGTGCCCCATAGCGCCCATGTGTGCCCTATAGCACCTATGGGTTTATGTGCCCTATAGAACCCAGGGGTTAGCCTTATAGCATCCATGTGTGCCCTATAGCACCTATGGGTGAGCCCTATAGCACCTGTGTGTGAGCCCTATAGCACCCATATGTGCCCCATAGCACCCGTGTGTGAGCCCAATAGCACCTATGGGTGAGCCCCACAGAACCCATGTGTACTACGCGTGTGCGTGTGCCCTATAGCACCTGCGCCTGCACCCTACAGCACCCATTGATGTGTCCTATAGCACCCATGTGTGTGCCCTATAGCACCCGGGGCGAGCCCCACAGCACCCATGGGTGAGCCCTATAGCACCCGTGTGTGCACCCACGTATGCAGCCCACAACACCCATGTGCACGCCCTATAGCACCCATGCGTGCGCCCTATAGCAAGGTGCGAGCACCCCCCCCCCCAGCACCCATGTGTGCCCCCCAACCTCCTCCATCCCCACAGCCTCCCCATAACCCCGCTCCTCTCCCCTTTCCCCCCCCCCCCAGCACCCATGGGTGCCCCCCAGCACCCATGGGTGCCCCCCCAGCACCCATGGGTGCCCCCCAACCTCCTCCATCCCCACAGCCTCCCCATAACCCCGCTCCTCTCCCCTTTCCCCCCCCCCCCAGCACCCATGGGTGCCCCCCAACCTCCTCCATCCCCACAGCCTCCCCATAACCCCGCTCCTCTCCCCTTTCCCCCCCCCCCCAGCACCCATGGGTGCCCTCACCTTGGGGTCCCTCGAGTGCTCAGGGCACAGCACCTGCAGGCGCTTGCAATAGGTCTTGCTTTGGGGGTTGTAGACATCACAGAAGAGGCGGGTGGCCCTGGGGGGGGGAGGCACCCATGGGTGGGGGGGGGGCACCCATGGGTGCCCCCCCCACCACCCATGGGTGCCTCCCCCCCCCCTTTACTTACCCCTCGATGCGTGTGGGGTACATGGACCCAAAGGACGTTTGGCTCTCGTACTGAAGGGAAAGTGGGGGGGGTTATAGGTGCTGGGGACCTATAGAGACCGCCCCATAGAGCCCCATAGCGGGGTCCATAGGGTGCCTATGGGACCCATAAGTGCCTACACGACCCACAAGTGCCTCTAGGCCCCATAGGTACCTATAGGCCTCATAAGTGCCTCTAGCCCCATAGGTACGTATAGGCCCCATAAGTGCTTCTAGGGCCCCATAAGTAACTATAGGACCCATAGGTAACTATAGGACCCATAAGTGACACTAGCCCCATAGGGCCCTATAGGACCCGTAAGTGCCTCTAGCCCCATAGGTACCCACAAGCCCCATAAGTGCCTCTAGCCCCATAGGTACCTACAGGCCCCATAAGTGCCTCTAGCCCCATAAGTGCCCCTAGCCCCACAGGTACCCACAGGCCCCATAAGTGCCCCTAGCCCCATAAGTGCCCCTAGCCCCACAGGTACCCACAGGCCCCATAAGTGCCCCTAGCCCCATAAGTGCCCCAGCCCCATAAGTGCCTCTAGCCCCACAGGTACCCACAGGCCCCATAAGTGCCCCTAGCCCCACAAGTACCCACAGGCCCCATAAGTGCCCCAGCCCCATAAGTGCCCCCAGCCCCATAAGTGCCCCAGCCCCACAGGTACCCACAGGCCCCATAAGTGCCTCTAGCCCCATAAGTGCCCCTAGCCCCACAGGCACCCACAGGCCCCATAAGTGCCCCAACCCCATAAGTGCCCCAGCCCCACAAGTGCCCCAGCCCCACAGGTACCCACAGGCCCCATAAGTGCCCCAGCCCCACAAGTGCCCCAGCCCCACAAGTGCCCCAGCCCCACAGGCACCTTGGCGTAGCAGCGCTCCATGTGCCGCAGCGCCACCTTGGGGTTGATGGGGTGGCCGCAGGAGACGCAGAAGATCTGCAGCTCCGTGTCCTCGCTGTCCCCCTCCGTGCTCTGATGGGGGGACCCCAAAAACCTTGCGGGAGTTTTGGGGTTCGGGGGGATGGGGGGGGGGGGGGGAGGGGTCAGGGGGACCCCAGGAGCCAAAGGGGGGGGGGGGGGGATTTGGGGGTTCAATGGGGATTAAAGCAATGGGGATGGGGGGGGGGGTTGGGGGGGTCCCCATGACCTCAGGGGGGTCCCCAAGAGCCAAAGGGGGGGATGGGGATGGTTTGGGGTTCAGGGGGCTCCCAATGGTGGGGGTGGGGGATGGGGACGTTTTGGGGTTCAGGGGGGTCCCCAAGAGCCAAGGAGGGGGGTGGGGGGGGTGTTTTGGGGTTCAGGGGGGTCCCCAAGAGCCATGGGGGGGTGGGGGGGATGTTTTGGGGTTCAGGGGGGTCCCTATGACCCTATGGAGGGGGATGGGGATGTTTTGGGGTTCAGAGGGGTCCCCAAGAGCCAAGTGGGGGGGGGTTAAGGGTCTGTGGGGTCCCCAAGAGCCCAGTTTGGGGGTAGGGGTGTGGATGCAGGTGCGGGTGCAGGGGTGTGGGTGCGGGGGTGTGTGTGTGGGTGCCAGTGTGGGTGCGGGGGTGCTGGTGTGGGTGTGGATGCAGGTGTGGGTGCTGGTGCGGGTGCCGGTGCTGGTGTGGGTGCTGGTGTGTGGATGTGGGTGCTGGTGTGGGTGTGGATGTGGGTGCTGGTGCGGGTGCTGGTGTGTGGATGTGGGTGCTGGTGTGTGGGTGTGGGTGTGTGGGTGCTGGTGCGGGTGCTGGTGTGTGGAAGTGGGTGCTGGTGCGGGTGCTGGTGTGTGGAAGTGGGTGCTGGTGTGGGTGTGGATGTGGGTGCTGGTGTGGGTGTGGATGTGGGTGCTGGTGCGGGTGCTGGTGTGTGGATGTGGGTGCGGGTGCAGATGCAGGTGTGGATGTGGGTGCTGGTGCGGGTGCTGGTGTGTGGATGTGGGTGCGGGTGCAGATGCAGGTGTGGATGTGGGTGCTGGTGTGGGTGCTGGTGTGTGGATGTGGGTGCTGGTGTGTGGGTGCGGGTTCAGATGCAGGTGTGGATGCGGGTGCTGGTGTGGGTGCTGGTGTGTGGATGTGGGTGCAGATGCAGGTGTGTGGATGCGGGTGCTGGTGTGGGTGCGGGTGCTGGTGTGGGTGCAGGTGTGTGTGTGCGGGTGCCGGTGCGGGTGTGGATGCGGGTGCAGGTGTGTGTGTGTGGGTGCGGGTGCAGATGCAGGTGTGTGGGTGCTGGTGTGTGGATGCGGGTGCTGGTGTGTGTGCGGGTGCAGATGCAGGTGTGGATGCGGGTGCCGGTGTGGGTGCCGGTGTGGGTGCGCGGGTGCAGATGCAGGTGTGTGGATGTGGATGCAGGTGTGTGTGCGCGGGTGCAGATGCAGGTGTGTGTGTGCGGGTGCCGGTGTGTGTGCGCGGGTGCAGGTGTGGGTGTGGATGCGGGTGCCGGTGTGTGTGCGCGGGTGCGGTTTTGCCCCCACCTCCTCGTCGTGCCGTGCCGGGTGCCCCTTGGCGCGGGCGATGAGCGCCTCGAGCTCGTGGAAGCGCCGCTCCATGTCCTGCAGGCGCAGGCGCGCCTGGTGCTGCTCCCGCCGGATGCGCTCCAGCAGCCGCTTCCCGTGCTCCTCCGCCACGCACGGGCTCTGCTGCCACTGCTGGATGCGCTGCGGCAGGATCTCGTAGATGCGGCTGCCGGGGGGGATGTGGGGGTCAGTGGGGGGCAATGGGGGCAATGAGGGTCAATGGGAGTCAATGGGGGTCAATGGGAGTCAATGGGGGTCAATGGGAGTCAATGAGAGTCAATGGGGGCAATGGGGGCAGGATCTCGTAGATGCGGCTGCCGGGGGGGATGTGGGGGTCAGTGGGGGGCAATGGGGGCAATGGGGGTCAATGGGGGTCAATGGGAGCCAATGGGGGTCAATGGGAGTCAATGGGGGTCAATGGGAGTCAATGGGAGCCAATGGGGGTCAATGGGAGTCAATGAGAGTCAATGGGGGCAATGGGAGTCAATGGGAGTCAATGGGGGTCAATGGGAGTCAATGGGGGTCAATGGGAGTCAATGGGAGCCAATGGGAGTCAAAGGGAGTCAATGAGAGTCAATGGGGGCAATGGGGGCAGGATCTCGTAGATGCGGCTGCCGGGGGGGATGTGGGGGTCAATCGGGGCAATGGGAGTCAATGGGGGTCAATGGGAGTCAATGGGAGCCAGTGGGGGTCAATGGGGGTCAATGGGGGCAATGGGAGCCAATGGGGGTCAATGGGAGTCAATGGGGGGCAATGGGGGTCAATGGGAGTCAATGGGAGCCAATGGGGGTCAATGGGAGCCAATGGGGGTCAATGGGGGCCAATGGGAGTCAATGGGAGTCAATCGGGGCAATGGGAGCCAATGGGGGTCAATGGGAGTCAATGGGAGCCAATGGGGGTCAATGGGAGTCAATGGGAGCCAATGGGGGTCAATGGGGGTCAATGGGAGCCAATGGGGGTCAATGGGAGCCAATGGAAGTCAATGAGAGTCAATGGGGGCAATGGGGGCAGGATCTCGTAGATGCGGCTGCCGGGGGGGATGTGGGGGTCAATGGGGGCAATGGGGGTCAATGGGGTCAATGGGAGCCAATGGGAGCCAATGGGAGCCAATGGGAGTCAATGGGGGTCAATGGGGGTCAATGGGGGCAATGGGGTCAATGGGGGTCAATGGGGGTCAATGGGAGTCAATGGGAGCCAATGGGAGCCAACGGGAGTCAATGGGGGCAATGGGGGTCAATGGGGGTCTATGGGGGTCAATGGGAGTCAATGGGAGCCAATGGGAGTCAATGGGGGCAATGGGGGTCAATGGGGGTCAATGGGAGTCAATGGGAGCCAATGGGGGCCATGGGGTCAAGGGGAGCCAATGGGATCGAGTGGGATCGATGGGAGCCAATGGGATCGCGTGGGATCAATGGGAGCCATTGGGATCGAGTGGGATCGATGGGATCCCCGGAAATCAGTGGGATCCGTTGGGATCAAATGGGATCCCATTGGCTCAATGGCAGCCAATGGACTCCTTTGGGATCTAGTAGGATCAACGGGAGCCAACGGGATCCATTGGGATCAACAGGATCCACTGGGATCAAATGGCATCCACTGGGATCAAATCTCCTCTATACTGGTTGCTCTACCCCGGTCTATACTGATCCACCCCGCTCTGTGCTAGTCCACCCCGTACTGGTTTGTACTGGTCCATACTGGTTTATACTGGTCCGAACCGGTCCATACTGGTTTATACTGGTCCATACTGGTTTATACTGGTCCGAACCGGTCCATACTCACTTGGCGGCCAGTTTGACCCCGCAGGCCTCGCTGCAGTACTTGGAGGGCGGCCGGGCCGGGCGGGTGCAGCCGGGGCCCAGGCACTGCCCCAGCCCCGCCGGGTCCCGCGTGTCGGCGCGCTCCGGGTGCCGGCTGCGCTCGCGGTGCCGCGGCTTCTGCCGGTGCCGCTTGTAGCGCTCCTCCTTCTGCGGCCACAGGGGGCGAGAGTGAGCGATAGGGGGTGATAGGGGGCGATAGGGGGTGATAGGGGGCGATAGGGGGCGATAGGGGGCAATAGGGGGTGATAGGGGGCAATAGGAGGCGATAGTGAGCGATAGGGAGCGATAGGGGGAGAGATAGTGGGCAATAGAGGGCGATAGGGGGCGATAGGGGGCGATAGGGGGCGATAGGGGGAGCGATAGTGGGCAATAGGGGGCGATAGGGGGCGATAGGGGGAAATAGGGGGCAATAGTGAGCGATAAAGGGCGATGGGGGCAATAGAGGGCGATAGGGGGCAATAGAGGGCGATAGGGGGCGATAGGGGGCGATAGGGGGAGCGATAGGGGGCAATAGGGGGCGATAGGGGGCGATAGAGGGCAATAGGGGGCAATAGTGAGCGATAAAGGGCGATGGGGGCAATAGAGGGCGATAGGGGGCAATAGAGGGCGATAGGGGGCAATAGAGGGCAATAGGGGGTGATAGGAGGCGATAGTGAGCGATAGGGGGCGATAGGGGGAGCGACAGTGGGCAACAGGGGGTGATGGGGGCAATAGAGGGCAATAGGAGGTGATAGGGGGCGATAGTGAGCAATAGGGGGTGATAGTGAGCGATAGGGGGCAAGAGAGGGCAATAGGGGGTGATAGTGAGCGATAGGGGGCAAGAGAGGGCAATAGGGGGTGATAGGGGGTGATAGGGGGCGATAGGGAGCGATAGTGGGCAATAGGGGGTGATGGGGGCAATAGAGGGCAATAGGAGGAGACCAGTATAAACCAGTATAGACCAGTACAGACCTTCTTGTCCGACTTCTTCTCCCGGCGCTTGACGTGTTTGACTTTGACGGCGCGCTTCCGCAGGACGGGGTCGAGGAAAGGGGCGTCCTCGGCGTCACTGAGCCATGGCTGGAAGGGAACACGCCAAGGACATGCGTAAAACCCAGCTCGACACACTTCGAACATGCCTCACCGTGTCCCTGTGTGCTTAAAACACAGCTCGAAACGCTTAGAACATGTCTCACCGTGTCCCTGCGTGCTTAAAACACAGCTCGACACGCTTAGAACATGTCTTGATGTGCCCCTGCGTGCTTAAAACACAGCTCAACACGCTTAGAACATGTCTTGATGTGCCCCTGCATGCTTAAAACACAGCTTGACATGCTTGGAACATGTCTTGATGTGCCCCTGCGTGCTTAAAACACAGCTCAACACGCTTAGAACATGTATTGATGTGCCCCTGCATGCTTAAAACACAGCTTGACATGCTTGGAACATGTCTTGATGTGCCCCTGCGTGCTTAAAACACAGCTCGACACGCTTAGAACATGTCTTGATGTGCCCCTGCGTGCTTAAAACACAGCTCGACACGCTTAGAACACGTCTTGATGTGCCCCTGCGTGCTTAAAACACAGCTTGACATGCTTTGAACATGCTTCACCACGCTTAAAACACAGCTCAACATGCTTAGAACATGCCTGTGTCCCTGTGTGCTTCAAACACAGCTCGACACGCTTAGAACACATCTTGAAGTGCCCCTGCGTGCTTAAAACACAGCTCGACACGCTTAGAACATGTCTTGATGTGCCCCTGCGTGCTTAAAACACAGCTTGACACGCTTAGAACACGTCTTGATGTGCCCCTGCATGCTTAAAACACAGCTTGACATGCTTTGAACATGCTTCACCATGCTTAAAACACAGCTCGACATGCTTAGAACATGCCTGTGTCCCTGTGTGCTTCAAACACAGCTCGACATGCTTAGAACATGCCTCACTGTGTCCCTGTGTGCTTCAAACACAGCTCGACATGCTTACAACATGCCTCACCGTGTCCCTGCATGCTTGAAACACAGCGTGACACGCTTAGAACATGTCTTGATGTGCCCTGCATGCTTAAAACACAGCTCAACACACTTAGAACATGTCTCAATGTACCCCTACATGCTTAGAACATGCCTTGGCGCACCTAAACTCGCTCAGCACACGCCATGGCACGGCAAAACACGCTTAGAACACATCTCTACACACCGAAACAGGGCTCAAAACCATGGCTCTGCGTGTCCAAGCGTGCTTATGCATGTGCTTTGACACGCATAAACACGCTAAAGCCTAAACGTACTTAAAACACGCTTCAACACGCTTCGAGACGCGTTCACGTGCTTAAAACGCGCCCCAGTGCGCTTTAAACACGCTAAAAACACGCCCTAGCATGCTAAGAACATGCCCCGGCAGGTCTTGGAGGCTGAAACCGGGCATTTGGGGTCCCCAAGGCTGAATTTGGGTTGGTTTGGGGCAATTCTGGTGGCTTTTGGGGCATTTTGGGGGGTTTTGGGTCCCCAGAGCCCAATTTAGGGCATTTTGGTGCCATTCCAGTGGGATTTGGTTCATTTTGGGGGAATTTTGGGTCCCCAGATCCCAATTTTAGCAGTTTTGGACCAATTCTGGCAGGATTTGGTGCAGTTTGGGGTCCCCAGAGCCCAATTTAGGGCATTTTGGTGCCATTCCAGTGGGATTTGATGCATTTTGGGGGGATTTTGGGTCCCCAGATCCCAATTTAAGCAATTTTGGACCAATTTTGGTGGGATTTGGTGCAGTTTGGGGTACCCATATCCCAATTCAGGCCATTTTAGAGCCATTTGAATGGGATTTGATGCATTTTGGGGTCCCCATATCCCAATTCAGGCCATTTTAGAGCCATTTTGATGGGATTTGATGCATTTTGGGGTCCCCAGAGGCCAATTTAGGCCATTTTAGAGCCATTTGAATGGGATTTGATGCATTTTGGGGTCCCCAGAGGCCAATTTAGGCCATTTTAGAGCCATTTGAATGGGATTTGGTGCATTTTGGGGTCCCCAGAGCCCAATTCAGGCCCTTTTAGAGCCATTTGAGTGGGATTTGATGCATTTTGGGGTCCCCAGAGCCCAATTTAGGCCCTTTTAGAGCCATTTGTGTGGGATTTGGTGCATTTTGGGGTCCCCATATCCCAATTCAGGCCATTTTAGAGCCATTTTGATGGGATTTGATGCATTTTGGGGTCCCCAGAGGCCAATTTAGGCCATTTTAGAGCCATTTGAATGGGATTTGATGCATTTTGGGGTCCCCAGAGGCCAATTTAGGCCATTTTAGAGCCATTTGAATGGGATTTGGTGCATTTTGGGGTCCCCAGAGCCCAATTCAGGCCCTTTTAGAGCCATTTGAGTGGGATTTGATGCATTTTGGGGTCCCCAGAGCCCAATTTAGGCCCTTTTAGAGCCATTTGTGTGGGATTTGGTGCATTTTGGGGTCCCCAGAGCCCAATTCAGGCCATTTTAGAGCCATTTTGATGGGATTTGATGCATTTTGGGGTCCCCAGAGGCCAATTTAGGCCATTTTAGAGCCATTTGAATGGGATTTGATGCATTTTGGGGTCCCCAGAGGCCAATTTAGGCCATTTTAGAGCCATTTGAATGGGATTTGATGCATTTTGGGGTCCCCAGAGGCCAATTTAGGCCATTTTAGAGCCATTTGAATGGGATTTGGTGCATTTTGGGGCCCCCAGAGCCCAATTTAGGCCCTTTTAGAGCCATTTGAATGGGATTTGGTGCATTTTGGGGTCCCCAGAGCCCCATTTACCCCATTTTGGCACCATTTGAATGGGATTTGGTGCATTTTGGGGTCCCCAGAGCCCCATTTACCCCATTTTGGCACCATCTGAAGAGGATCCGGTGCATTCTGGGGGGGTTTTGGGGTGCCTGCGGGCGCTGGGGGGGTGGGGGGGTCCTCACCAGGCCGTGCTCATCGAAGGCTCCGGCGCAGAGCTCCTGGTAGAGGCGGGGGTCCAGCGGCAGTTCCTCGTCCGAGAGGCTCTCGGGGGGCCCCGTGGCCCCCAGCTGCTCCTTCAGCAGCTCCAGCTCCCCCTCGCGCCCCCGGGACAGCTTGGGGGGCAGTGGGGGGGGGTCAGCATCAAAACCACCCCAGACCCACAGCACGGTGGGGACCCCCCCTATTGCCGCTATGGGGGGCACCTGGGTGTCATGGGGACCCCCCTATTGCCATCAATGGGGACCCAGGTATTGTGGGGACCCCCCTATTGTCATCAATGGGGACCCGGGTATCATAGGGACCCCCCTATTGCCATCAATGGGGACCCGGGTATTGTGGGGACCCCCCTATTGCCATCAATGGGGACCCAGGTATTGTGGGGACCCCCCTATTGCCATCAATGGGGACCCGGGTATCATAGGGACCCCCCTATTGCCATCAATGGGGACCCAGGTATCGTGGGGACCCCCCTGTTGTCATCAATGGGGACCTGGGTATCATGGGGACCCCCCTGTTGCCACTATGGGGGGACCCGGGTATCATAGGGACCCATCTATTGCTGCTATGGGGGGACCTGGGTGTCATGGGGACCCCCCTATTGCCATCAATGGGGACCCAGGTATTGTGGGGACCCCCCTATTGCCACCATGGGGACCCCCCTATTGCCACTATGGGGGCGTCCAAATGTCTTGGGGACCCCCCTACTGCCAGCATGGGGGGACCCGGTTATCATAGGGACCCCCCTATTGCCACCAATAGGAGCCCCCCAATTGCCCCTAGGGGGGACCCAGGTATCACCGCGACCCCCAAAACCCCCTCCCAGCCCCATGGGACCCCCCCCCCCCATAGATGGGACCCCCCTAAAAGGGCTCCAGGACTCACCGAGGTGGGGAAGTACTTGTAGGACTCCTGGGGGAGAAAGGGACACGTGAGAAACATGCCAAGAACACGCCAAGGACACACCAACACGCTAACACACTATGAACATGTTAACATGAGCCAACATGCTAACATGTTATCAAAACACTCCCAACATACTCTGAACACACTAGCACATTTCAACATGCTAACAACACGCACCAGCACACTAACAACATGCTCTGAGCATGCTAACACGTTCCAACAGGCTAACGCCATGCTCCAACATGTTATCAACACACTCCCAACACACTAACAACATGCTCCAACACACAAGCAACACACACTGAGCATGCTAACATGTTCCAAAATGCTAACACCACACTCACACCATGCTCCAACACGCTAACAACACACTCTGAACACGCTAACACGGTCAAACACGCTAACAACACACTAACACCACGCTAATACCATGCTCCAACACACTACCACCACGCTCCAACACGCTAACAACACGCTCTGACCACGTTAAGACAGTCTAACACACTAACACCACACTCTGAACATGTTAACACGGTCTAACATGACGCTAATACCATGTTCCAACACACTACCACCACACTCCAACACGCTAACAACACGCTCTGAACACACAAACACGGTCTAACACGCTAACAACACACTACCACCATGCCCCAACACATTAACAACACACTCTGAACACGCTAACACGCTCCAACACACTAACAACACACTCTGAACAGGCTAAGAACATGCTCCAACACACTAACAATGCGCTCTGAACATGCTAACACACTCCAACATGCCAACACCACATTCTGAACATGCTAAGAAACATGCTCCAACATGTTAACAACACACTCTGAACATGCTAACATGCTCCAGCACGCTCACAACACACTCTGAACATGCTAAGAACACCCTCCAACATGCTAACAACACACTCTGAACATGCTAACACGCTCCAAAACACTAACCACACACTCTGAACATGCTAAGAACACGCTCCAACATGCTAACAACACTCTCTGAACACGCTAACACGTTCCAGCACACTAACACCACACTCTGAACACACTCCAACATGCTAACAACACTCTCTGAACACGCTAACACGCTCCAGCACGCTAACACCACACTCTGAACATGCCAAGAACACGCTCACAATGCGCTCTGAACATGCTATCACGCTCCAACACGCTAACACCACATTCTGAACATGCTAAGAACGTTCCAACATGCTAACAACACGCTCTGAACATGCTAACACGTTCCAAAACGCTAACCACACACTCTGAGCATGCTAAGAACACGTTCCAACATGCTCCAAGACGCTACTAACATTCTCTGAACATGCTAACACACTCTGAACACGCTAACATGCTCACAACGCGCTCTGAACACGCTAACCACAGACTCTGAACACGCTAAGAACACGCTCCAACACACTAACCACAGACTCTGAACACGCTAACATGCTCACAACGCGCTCTGAACACGCTAACCACAGACTCTGAACACGCTAAGAACACGCTCCAACACACTAACCACAGACTCTGAACACGCTAACATGCTCACAACGCGCTCTGAACACGCTCCAAAACGCTAACCACAGACACTGAACACGCTAAGAACATGCTAAGAACACGGCAGGAGGCGCGGGCACTGACGCGGGCGCGCAGCTGGCACTGCCGCAGGCGGCACTTCTGGCGGATCTTGTTGGGGCCCCCGAACTTCTTCATGTCGCGGCAGAAGTCGCACTGCCCGCAGTCCTCGGGGCGCCGGCACGCCTCGCACTCCCCACACATCCGCGCCGAGCGCTTGATCTATGGGGCGGGACCCACAAGTTAACCCGCCCAGAGGTCCCGATGGGGTTAAAGGGGGGGGGGGGGGGGGCGCGTCCCATTCTCCCCCCTGCCCCATAGCGTCCCACCTCTCCCTATGGGGTTAAAGGGGGGGTTGTCCCATTCTCCCCCCTGCCCCATAGCGCCCCACTGCTCCCTATGGGGTTAAAGAGAGGGGGTCCCATTCTCCCCCTCGCCCCATAGCGTCCCACCGCTCCCTATGGGGTTAAAGGGGGGGTTGTCCCATTCTCCCCCCTGCCCCATAGCGCCCCACTGCTCCCTATGGGGTTAAAGGGGGGGTGTCCCATTCTCTCCCTGCCCCATAGCGCCCCACTGCCCCCTATGGGGTTAAAGGGGGGTTGTCCCATTCTCCCCCCTGCCCCATAGCGCCCCACTGCTCCCTATGGGGTTAAAGGGGGGGTGTCCCATTCTCCCCCACACCCCATAGCGCCCCACCGCTCCCTATGGGGTTAAAGAGAGGGGGTCCCATTCTCCCCCCCGCCCCATAGCGCCCCATAGCATCCCACTGCTCCCTATGGGGTTAAAGGGGGGTTGTCCCATTCTCTCCCTGCCCCATAGCATCCCACCGCTCCCTATGGGGTTAAAGGGGGAAGGTCCCATTCTCCCCCCTGCCCCATAGCGCCCCATAGCGCCCCATAGCGCCCCACCTTGGCCGCTCGGCCCTGCTCCAGCGCCAGCTCCTGGGCTTTGGAGCTCTCGTGCTCGCGCTCCTTCTCCCTCCACTTCTTGTGCCGGTAGCGGATCTCCAGGCTGGGATCCTTCTCTGCAGGGGGGACATGGGGGGCAGGACCCACACGTGAGCCCCACAACAGCCACAAATGGGGGGCAGGACCCACACGTGAGCCCCACAACAGCCACAAATGGGGGGCGGGACCCACACGTGAGCCCCACAACTGCCACAAATGGGGGGCAGGACCCACACGTGAGCCCCACAACAGCCACAAATGGGGGGCAGGACCCACACGTGAGCCCCACAACTGCCACAAATGGGGGGCGGGACCCACACGTGAGCCCCACAACAGCCACAAATGGGGGGCGGGACCCACACGTGAGCCCCACAACAGCCACAAATGGGGGGCGGGACCCACACGTGAGCCCCACAACTGCCACAAATGGGGGCAGGACCCACACGTGAGCCCCACAACAGCCACAAATGGGGGGCGGGACCCACACGTGAGCCCCACAACAGCCACAAATGGGGGGCAGGACCCACACGTGAGCCCCACAACAGCCACAAATGGGGGGCGGGGCCCACACGTGAGCCCCACAACTGCCACAAATGGGGGGCGGGACCCACACGTGAGCCCCACAACAGCCACAAATGGGGGGCAGGACCCACATGTGAGCCCCACAGCCCCCCCAACAGCCACAAATGGGGGGCTGGACCCACACGTGAGCCCCACAACAGCCACAAATGGGGGGCAAGACCCACACGTGAGCCCCACAACAGCCACAAATGGGGGGCAGGACCCACACGTGAGCCCCACAACAGCCACAAATGGGGGGCGGGACCCACACGTGAGCCCCACAACAGCCACAAATGGGGGGCGGGACCCACACGTGAGCCCCACAACAGCCACAAATGGGGGGCGGGACCCACACGTGAGCCCCACAACTGCCACAAATGGGGGGCAGGACCCACACGTGAGCCCCACAACAGCCACAAATGGGGGGCAGGACCCACACGTGAGCCCCACAACAGCCACAAATGGGGGGCGGGACCCACACGTGAGCCCCACAACAGCCACAAATGGGGGGCGGGACCCACACGTGAGCCCCACAACTGCCACAAATGGGGGGCGGGACCCACACGTGAGCCCCCCAACAGCCACAAATGGGGGGCAGGACCCACATGTGAGCCCCACAACAGCCACAAATGGGGGGCAGGACCCACACGTGAGCCCCACAACAGCCACAAATGGGGGGCGGGACCCACACGTGAGCCCCACAACAGCCACAAATGGGGGGCAGGACCCACACGTGAGCCCCACAACTGCCACAAATGGGGGGCGGGACCCACACGTGAGCCCCACAACAGCCACAAATGGGGGGCAGGACCCACACGTGAGCCCCACAACAGCCACAAATGGGGGGCAGGACCCACACGTGAGCCCCACAACTGCCACAAATGGGGGGCAGGACCCACACGTGAGCCCCACAGCAGCCACAAATGGGGGGCGGGACCCACACGTGAGCCCCACAGCCCCCCCAACAGCCACAAATGGGGGGCAGGACCCACACGTGAGCCCCACAGCCCCCCCAACAGCCACAAATGGGGGGCTGGACCCACACGTGAGCCCCACAACTGCCACAAATGGGGGGCGGGACCCACACGTGAGCCCCACAACAGCCACAAATGGGGGGCAGGACCCACACGTGAGCCCCACAACTGCCACAAATGGGGGGCGGGACCCACACGTGAGCCCCACAACAGCCACAAATGGGGGGCGGGACCCACACGTGAGCCCCACAACTGCCACAAATGGGGGGCGGGACCCACACGTGAGCCCCACAACTGCCACAAATGGGGGGCGGGACCCACACGTGAGCCCCACAACAGCCACAAATGGGGGGCGGGACCCACACGTGAGCCCCACAACAGCCACAAATTGGGGGCAGGACCCACATGTGAGCCCCACAGCCCCCCCCCAACAGCCACAAATGGGGGGCAGGACCCCCATTCCCCCCCCAACACCCATAAAGGACCCCCAGGACCCACATTTCCCCCCCAAACAGCACCCAACCCCCCCCCAAAAGACCCCAATCCCCCCCAAACCTTCCCCTTCACCCCCTAAAGCTCAACCAAACCCCAACCCCTTTCCCCTAACACAAGACCGGGGGGGGGGGGTGGGGGGGTTTGGACCCCCCCAGGGCCCGCCCCATAAGTGTGCCCCATAAGTGTGGGTCCCGTGCTCACCGCGGCACTGGAGGCAGTACCACTCCCGGATGGCCTTGGCCATCTTCTCGGTGATGTTGATGCAGTCGCCATGGAACCACTCGTTGCAGTTGTCGCATCCTCTATGGGGCAGGGGGGTTAAAAGTGGGGCAGGGGGGGCCTTAACCCCACCCCCCCCCAAGCACCCCCATAGGGGGCCAGGGTCCTTAAACCACCCCCACCCCCCCAAAGCACCCCCTAAGTCGCCACAAGGGACCCAACCCCCCCCAATACCCCTCTCCCCCTGCTTAAAGCACCCAAGGGTCCAACCCCCCCAAAGGGACCCCCCTAAAAGGGTCCCAAACCCCCCCAAAGGGACCCCCCAACCCCCCCTAAAATGGCCCCAACCCCCCCCAAACCCCCTAAACGGGTCCCAACCCCCCAAAGGGACCCCCCCCAAACAGGCCCCAACCCCCCCCCAAAGGGACCCCCCCAAACCCCCCTAAAAGGGTCCCACCCCCCCCAAAGGGACCCTCCTAAAAGGGTCCCAAACCCCCCCCAAAGGGACCCCCCCAAACCCCCCTAAACGGGTCCCAAACCCCCCCAAAGGGACCCCCCCAAACCCCCTAAACGGGTCCCAACCCCCCCTCAAAGGGACCCCCCCAAACCCCCTAAACGGGTCCCAACCCCCCCTCAAAGGGACCCCCCCAAACCCCCTAAACGGGTCCCAACCCCCCCTCAAAGGGACCCCCCCAAACGGGTCCCAACCCCCCCAAAGGGACCCCCCCAAACCCCCCTAAACGGGTCCCAACCCCCCCAAAGGGACCCCCCCAAACCCCCTAAAAGGGCCCCACCCCCCCCCAAACCCCCTAAACGGGTCCCAACCCCCCCTAAAATGGCCCCAACCCCCCCCAAAGGGACCCCCCCAAACGGGTCCCAACCCCCCCCAAAGGGACCCTCCTAAAAAGGTCCCAACCCCCCCCCAAAGGGACCCCCCAAACGGGTCCCAACCCCCCCCAAAGGGACCCCCCCAAACGGGTCCCAACCCCCCCCAAAGGGACCCCCCCAAACCCCTCTCTTAAGGACCCAAGGGTCCAGACCCCCCCGAACCCCCTCAAAGCACCCAAGGGTCCGACCCCCCCCCCCCCCCCCCGAGACCCCCAATGGGACCCCCTCAGCCTCCCTCTGAGGGACCCAGGGGTCCAGGCCCCCCCCAAAGCCCCAAATGGAGCCCTCCAAATACTCCCCTATGGGTCCCAAGCAACCGGACAGCCCCATAGTGGGGGTCTCAGCCCCATAACGGGGGGAGTTCAGCCCCATAACAGGGATCTCAGCCCCATAACAGAGATCTCAGCCCCATAATGGGGGGAGTTCAGCCCCATAACAGGGATCTCAGCCCCATAAGTGAGGATCTCAGCCCCATAACGGGGGTTTCAGGCCCATAATGGGGGGAGTTCAGCCCCATAACAGGGATCTCAGCCCCATAACGTGGTTCTCAGCCCCATAACGTGGTTCTCAGCCCCATAACGTGGTTCTCAGCCCCATAACGTGGTTCTCAGCCCCATAAGTGAGGATCTCAGCCCCATAACGGGGGGAGTTCAGCCCCATAACAGGGATCTCAGCCCCATAACAGGGGATCTCCGCCCCATAACCGGGTTCTCAGCCCCATAACGAGGCTCTCAGCCCCATACCAGGGGGGCTTCAGCCCCATAACGTGGATCTCAGCCCCATAACGTGGATCTCAGCCCCATAACAAGGGATCTCCGCCCCATAACAGGGTTCTCAGCCCCATAACCGGGTTCTCAGCCCCATAACGTGGATCTCAGCCCCATAACGTGGTTCTCAGCGCCATAACGTGGTTCTCAGCCCCATAACAGGGGATCTCCGCCCCACAACCGGGTTCCCAGCCCCATACCAGGGGGGTTCCAGCCCCATAACGTGGATTTCAGCCCCATAACGTGGATTTCAGCCCCATAACGTGGATTTCAGCCCCATAACGTGGTTCTCAGCGCCATAACGTGGTTCTCAGCCCCATAACAGGGGATCTCCGCCCCACAGCCGGGTTCCCAGCCCCATACCAGGGGGGTTCCAGCCCCATAACGTGGATTTCAGCCCCATAACGTGGTTCTCAGCCCCATAACGTGGATCTCAGCCCCATAACGTGGATTTCAGCCCCATAACGTGGATCTCAGCCCCATAACGTGGATCTCCGCCCCATAACGTGGATCTCCGCCCCATAAGAGGGGATCTCCGCCCCACAACCGGGTTCCCAGCCCCATACCAGGGGGGTTCCAGCCCCATAACGTGGATTTCAGCCCCATAACGTGGATTTCAGCCCCATAACGTGGTTCTCAGCCCCATAACGTGGATCTCCGCCCCATAACGTGGATCTCCGCCCCATAACAAGGGATCTCCGCCCCACAACCGGGTTCCCAGCCCCATAAGTGGGGGTCCCCGCCCCACACTCACATCATGAAGCAGTTGATGTCCGGTTTGCGGCACACGCAATAAACGGGCGCGTTCTCCTCCCCCCCCGGCCCCGCTTCCGCGTCCGAGAACTCGCTGTCCTGTGGGGCGGGACAGGGCAATGGGGCCGCCATTGCCGGCTCCCCCGCCCCATAGCGAGCCCCATAGCGAGCGCTCACCATCGCCGCTCGGCCCCACCGCGCTCCGCCATAAGCCGGAAGGAGGAAGCGCTGCCCGCTTCCGCTTCCGGAGGGGGGGGAAAGGGAGGAGGCGCATGCGTAGAGCGGCACAAAATGGCGGCGCGCAGTGTGGGACCAGGCGGTAAAATGGCGGCCGCCTATGGAGGCGGCCATGTTGGGGGGAGAATGTGGCCTGGGCCTCCTGAGCCGCCATAGGCACGGATAAAGGAAGGGGGGGAGGGTTAAGAACGTTTATTGGTGACGTAGGGGATGACGTAAGGACGTAGTGGGGCGGGGATAGGGGGGAGCAGGTCCTTCCTATAGTGGGAGGTGGCAAAATGGCGGCCGCCTGTGGAGGCGGCCATGTTGGGGATGCCTCCTGAGCCGCCATAGAGACACGGAAACGGGGTGGGAAGGGGGGGTTAGAACGTTTATTGGGGGGCGTGGTGACGTGGGGGGGGGGGCGTAGTGACGTAAGAGGTGACGTAGGGACGTATGGGGGGGCTATAGGGGACCTATGGGTCCCCCCCTTCACTCCTCACTCGCGCTGAGCCTCCATGGGGCACTGCAGCTGCTCCAGCTCCTGGGCCAACCTAAAAGGGGGCGGAGTCAGAGGGAGAGGGGGCGTGGCCACGTGGTCCCAGTGGGCGGGGCCTGTTTGGGAGGGGAGGTACCCACCTGTCCCGGCGGTGCTGGCAGCTCTGACGCCGCGCAAGCTCCGCCCCCAGGCGCTGCTCCGCCCACTCCGCCTCCTGCTCCACCAATTGGCTGTGGAGGGGGGGGCGGAGTCAATGGGGGGGGAGAGGGAGGGGCAAGGAACACAATGGGCGGGGCCTCCAGGCACTCACATGGCCACGAAGGCTTCGGGGCCCAGCTGCTGCTCGGCCTCCAGCAGGCGGCGCTCTGCAGGGGGCGGGGCTTGTTAGCTTGGGGGGGGGACCAAGGGGGGCAATGGGGGGGGACATGGGTTCAATGGGGGGGGATGGGTTCAGTGGGGGGGCCATAGGTTCAATGGGGGGGGACATGGGTTCAATGGGGGGGGTGGGCGCATGGGTTCAATGGGGGGGCCCACGGGTTCAATGGGGGGGTGATGGGTTCAATGGGGGGGCATGGGTTCAATGGGGGGCCATGGGTTCAATGGGGGGGCCCACGGGTTTAAGGGGGTGGGGGTCCATGGGTTCAGTGGGGCAGGCCATAGGTTGAGTGGGGCAGGCCATGGGTTCAGTGGGGGGTCCATGGGTTCAGTGGGGGGTCCATGGGTTCAGTGGGGCAGGCCATGGGTTCAATGAGGTGGGCCATGGGTTCAGTGGGGCAGGCCATGGGTTCAGTGGGGCAGGCCATGGGTTCAGTGCGGGGTCCATGGGTTCAGTGGGGCAGGCCATGGGTTCAGTGGGGCAGGCCATGGGTTCAGTGGGGGGTCCATGGGTTCAGTGGGGAGTGTGGGGCTCACCCTGGCTCAGCAGCTTCCCCATGGCCTCCTCCAGCCGCTCCAGTTCAGCCTCCAAGTGGGCAGGGGCCTGCAGGGGGCGTGGCCATGGTGTAAGGGGCGGGGGCTACGTGGGGGCGTGGCCATGGGGGCGTGGCCACGTGGTGGAGGGGGGGCGGGGCCCTCACGTGCTCCTCCTGCAGCCGCTTGTGCTGCTCCATGAGGTCCTCGAGCTGCCTCCAGAACTGCTCCCTGTGTTGGGCCACGTGGGGTGCCGCGTGGGTCACATGACCGCTGTCAGCTGCCCCGTGCCTCACGTGACCCCCACCTGTGTGCCCGGCGCTGCAGGCGGACCGGGGCTCCGCTGCCTCCCCCGGCCCCGGCTTCCTGCTGCCGGGTCAGGCAGCGGCCCCGGTGCCTGCGGGGTCAGAGGTCAAAGGTCACGGGTTCACGGATGAGGTCAGACTGGGTCAAGGGGTCAAAGATCACAGGGACAAGAGGAGGTCACCAGGAGGTCAGGGGGCAAAGTTCAGGGGGTCATGGGGTCAGAGGTCACAGGGGTCAAGGGCGAGGTCAGACTGGGTCAAGGGGTCAAAGATCACAGGGTCAAGGGGAGGTCACCAGGAGGTCAGGGGGCAAAGCTCAGGGGGTCATGGGCTCAGAGGTCACAGAGGTCAAGGCCGAGGTCAGACTGGGTCAAGGGGTCAAAGATCACAGGGTCAATGGGAGGTCACCAGGAGGTCAGGGCACAAAGATCAAGGGGTCATGGGGTCAGAGGTCACAGGGGTCAAGGGTGAGGTCAGACTGGGTCAAGGGGTCAAAGATCACAGGGTAAAGGGGAGGTCACCAGGAGGTCAGGGGACAAAGGTCAGGGGTCATGGGGTCAAAGGTCGTGGGACCAATTGGAGGCCAGCAGGGGTCAGGGTGTTGATGGTCACGGGGTCAAGGGGGAGGTTGTAAAGAGTCAGAGGTCATGGGGGCAGGGGTTAGCAGGGGGTCAAGGGTCAATGGGGTGAGAGCACTTGGGATCAGTAGGAGAGTGGGGGGTAGGATTGAGGGGTCAACGGGGGTCATAGGTCAGCGGGGTTTTTGGAGGGGTCAGAGGTCACCAGTGGTCACCTGATGGATGGGGGGGGAAGTGTCAGGGTTCACCAGGGTGTGAGGGGTTACCTATGGGGTCAGAGGTCATCTGGATGTCAAGGGTCAGCGGTCACGTGATGCGTTCGGGGGGGGTGGTGGTCATTGGAGGACCCCTGGCCCCTCCCACTCACCTTTGACCTTTGGCCTCCACCTCTTCCCTGCGCAGCCGTGCCACCCGCAGCGCCCCTGGGGGGGGGACGACAATGAAGGGACCCCCCAAAACCCCCCTTGAACCCCCCAAAACCCCCTTGAACCCCACAAAACTCCCCTTGACCCCAAAACACCCCCTTAACCCCCCAAAAACCCCCATGACCCCTCCCAAACACCCCCTTGAATCCCCCATTTGAGCCCCACAAATCTCCCTTGAACCCCTCACAGCCCCCCTTGACCCCCAAAACCCCCTTAACCCCCAAACACTCTCTTGACCCCTCCCAAACATCCCCTTGAATTCCCCCATCCACCTCCGTGAGCACCCCCAACCCCCCCCGAACCCCCCCAGCCCCCCTTGAACCCCCTAAACACACCCTTGACCCTCCAAACCCTCCCTTGAACCCCCCAACCCCCCCTTGACCCCCTAAATCCCTCTCTTGAACCCCCCAAATACCCCCTTGAAACCCCCCAACCCCCCGTGAATGCCCCCAAAGCCCCCTTGACCCCCACAAAACCCCCCCTTGAACCCCCCCAAACCCCCCTCTTGAACCCCACCAAATCCCCCTCTTGAACCCCCCAAACCCCCCTTGAACCCCCAAAATCCCCCTCTTGACCCCCCCAAACCCCCCCTTGAAACCCCCCAAACCCCCCCTTGAAAGCCCCCAAACCCCCCTTTACCCCCCAAATCCCCCTCTTGAACCCCCAAAACCCCTCTTGAAACCCCCCAAACCCCCCTTTACCCCCCAAATCCCCCTCTTGAACCCCCCATCCACCCCCTTGAAATCCCCCAAACCCCTGCTTTACACGCCCAAATGCCCCCTTGAACCCCCCAAACCCGCCTTTACCCCCCCTTGAACCCCCCCAAACCCCTCTTGAACCCCGCCAAACTCCCCCTCTTGAACCCCCCAAACCCCCCTTGAACCCCCCAAATCCCCTCTTGACCCCCCCCAAACCCCCTCTTGAAACCCCCCAAACCCCCCTTTACCCCCCAAATCCCCCTCTTGAACCCCCCATCCACCCCCTTGAAATCCCCCAAACCCCTGCTTTACCCCCCCAAATACCCCCTTGAACCCCCCAAACCCGCCTTTACCCCCCCCTTGAACCCCCCCAAACCCCCCTCTTGAACCCCCACCAAATCCCCCTCTTGACCCCCCCAAACCCCCTCTTGAAACCCTCCAAACCCCCCTTTACCCCCCAAATCCCCCTCTTGACCCCCCCCAAACCCCCCTTTGAAACCCCCCAAACCCCCCTTTACCCCCCAAATCCCCCTCTTGAACCCCCCATCCACCCCCTTGAAATCCCCCAAACCCCTGCTTTACCCCCCGAAATACCCCCTTGAAACCCCCCAAACCCGCCTTTACCCCCCCTTGAACCCCCCCAAACCCCCCCTTGCCCCCCCCCCCCCCCCCAGACCCCCCACTGGCCCCAGCCCATGGCCTCACCCTGCTTCTGCTGCCAGAGCCCGTCCAGCGCCGCGCGCCGCTCCTCTACTGCAGCCAGCCCCCAAAACCAGGGAGTTTCACCCCAAAACAGAGTCCCCATTGAACACCAGGGTCCCCCAAACACCAGGTCCGGGTCCCCCCCCCCCCCAATGATAAGGTCCCCCCCATAGATGGGGTCCCCACTCACGCTGCTCCAGGTGCCGGCGCAGCCCCGCGCTGTGCCCCTGCGCCTCCGACAGCTCCCGCGCTGCGGCCTCGCGTGCTGGGGGGATGATGATGGGGATGGGGATGATGGGGATGGATGGGGATGGATGGGGATGGATGGGGATGGATGGGGATGGGGATGATGGGGATGGATGGGGATGGATGGGGATGGGGATGATGGGGATGGATGGGGATGGATGGGGATGGTGATGGATGGGGATGGGGATGGATGGGGATGGTGATGGATGGGGATGGTGGTGATGGATGGTGATGGATAATGATGATAGATGATGATGGATGATGATGATGGATGAAGATGGATGATGATGATGATGATGGATGAAGATAGATGATGATGGATGATGGTAGATGACGATGATGATGATGATGGATGATGGATGGATGATGGTGGATGATGATGATGGATGAAGATGGATGATGATGATGATGATGGATGAAGATAGATGATGATGGATGATGGTAGATGACGATGATGATGATGATGGATGATGGATGGATGATGGTGGATGATGATGATGGATGAAGATGGATGATGATGATGATGATGGATGAAGATAGATGATGATGGATGATGGTAGATGACGATGATGATGATGATGGATGATGGATGGATGATGGTGGATGATGATGATGGATGAAGATGGATGATGATGATGATGATGGATGAAGATAGATGATGATGGATGATGGTAGATGAGGATGATGATGGATGGTGATGGATAAAGATGGATGAAGATGGCGGACGATGATGATGCTAATGGATGATGGTGGATGACGATGATGGATGGTGATGGATGACGATGATGCTGCTAATGGATGATGAAGGACAGACACCACAGGGCCAGACAGAGGGACCCATAGGGGGGTCCCCATCACTCACCCCGGTGCAGGCTGCGGATCTGCGCCAGCAGCGCCTCCGGCCGTGGTCCCCCGGCCATGGGGGGATGGAAGGGAGCTGGGGACGGACACACGCACGCGTACGTGTAACACGTGTACGTGTTACATGCATACATGTAACACACATACATGTAACACACACATGTAACACATACATGTCACACGCACACGTGTAACATACATGTAACACACGTGTAACACGCATACGTGTAACATGCATACATGTAACACGCATACATGTAACACACGTGTAACACGCATACGTGTAACACACATACATGCAACATGCACACATGTAACACACATGCATGTAACACGCATACATGTAACACACATACATGTAACACGCACACATGTAACACATACATGTAACACGCATACGTGTAACACACGTGTAACATACATGTAACACACATACGTGTAACACACATAACGTGTAACACACATACATATAACATGCATATATGTAACACGCATACGTGTAACACAAGTGTAACACACATGTAACATGAATATGTGTAACACATACATGTCACACGCATACATGTAACACACGTACGTGTAACATGCATACGTGTAACACATATACATGTAACACACGTGAAACACGCATACATGTAACGCATATATGTAACACGCGTACATGTAATACGCATACGTATAACACACATGTAACACACATACATGTAACACACATACGTGTAACACACACACGTGTAATACGCGTGTCCCTGGGCTCACATGGGCACACACGGGATCACACGTGTGCCTCACCCAGTGCCTCGGCACCGTCCATTGCTGCAGCCTGAGGGGACACAGGGACAATGGGGACAATGGGGTCAGTGGGGACAATGGGGACATGGGGAGACTATGGGGACAATGGGGACATGGGGATAATGGGGTCAGTGGGGACAGGAGGACAATGGGGACAGGAGGACAATGGGGACATGGGGACAATGGGGACATGGGGACATGGGGATAATGGGGATAACGGGGTCAGTGGGGACAGGAGGACAATGGGGACAATGAGGACAGGAGGACAATGGGGACACAGGGACAATGGGGACATGGGGATAATGGGGTCAGTGGGGACTGGAGGACAATGGGGACAGGAGGACAATGGGGACATGGGGATAATGGGGACATGGGGATAATGGGGACATGGGGACAGGAGGACAATGGGGACAGGAGGACAATGGGGACATGGGGATAATGGGGACATGGGGATAATGGGGATAAAGGGATAATGGGGACATGGGATAATGGGGATAAAGGGGTCAGTGGGGACAATGGGGACAATGGGGATAATGGGGACACAGGTACAATGGGGACAATGGGGACATGGGGATAATGGGGTCAGTGGGGACAATGGGGTCAACGGGGACATGGGGATAATGGGGACATGGGGACAATGGGGACAGGAGGACAATGGGGGACAATGGGGACATGGGGTCAATGGGGTCAGTGGGGTCAATGGGGACAATGGGGTCAGTGGGGTCAATGGGGACAACGGGGTCAATGGAGACAATGAGGTCAGTGGGGTCAATGGGGACATGGGGTCAATGGGGGCAATGGGGACATGGGGTCAATGGGGGCAATGGGGACATGGGGACATGGAGACAATGGGGTCAATGGGGACTGTGGGGTCAGTGGGGTCAATGGGGACAATGGAGACAATGGGGTCAATGGGGACAGTGGGGTCAATGGGGTCAATGGGGACAATGGAGACAATGGGGTCAATGGGGACTGTGGGGTCAATGGGGTCAATGGGGACAATGGAGACAATGGGGTCAATGGGGACAGTGGGGTCAATGGGGTCAGTGGGGTCAATGGGGTCAGTGGGGTCAATGGGGACAATGGGGTCAGTGGGGTCAATGGGGACAATGGGGTCAATGGGGTCAATGGGGACAATGGGGTCAGTGGGGACAATGGGGTCAATGGGGTCAATGGGGACAGTGGGGTCAATGGGGACAATGGGGTCAGTGGGGTCAATGGGGACAATGGGGTCAATGGGGTCAATGGGGACAATGGGGTCAGTGGGGACAATGGGGTCAATGGGGTCAATGGGGACAATGGGGTCAGTGGGGACAATGGGGTCAATGGGGTCAATGGGGACAATGGGGTCAGTGGGGTCAATGGGGACAATGGGGTCAATGGGGACAATGGGGTCAATGGGGTCAATGGGGACAGTGGGGTCAGTGGGGTCAATGGGGACAATGGGGTCAATGGGCTCAATGGGGACAATGGGGTCAGTGGGGTCAATGGGGACAATGGGCACGATGCCCCCCATATCCCCTCTTCCTGACGCTCTCCATCACATTCCCTCCATCTCCCCACCATTTCCCCCTTCTTCCCCCCCTTTGTGCCCCCATCCCCTTTCCTCCCCATCAATGCTTTCCCCCTTCCCCCTTGCTGTCACCTCCATCCCCGACCCCCTTGTCCCCCCTTTCTCCCTTGTTCCCATTTTACCCCCTTTGTCCCCATTTCTTTCCCTTTTGGCCCCCTTTTTCTCCCCATTTCCCTCTTCCTTGGCCCCTTCCCCTCCACTTTGCCCTTTTCCCAGCCCCTTTTTCCAGCCTGTTCTCTCCCCCTTTCCTGCCCCTTTTCCACCCCTTTTCCCCTCATTTTATCCCATTTTCCTCCATTTTATCCCATTTCCCCTCATTTTATCCCATTTTCCTTCATTTTATCCCATTTTCCTTCATTTTTATCCCATTTCCCCTCATTTGTCCCATTTTCCTTCATTTTATCCCATTTCCCCCCATTTTATCCCATTTCCCCTCATTTTGTCCCATTTCCCTCCATTTTATCCCATTTTCCTTCATTTTATCCCATTTTCCTTCATTTTATCCCACTTCCTTCATTTTATACCATTTTCCTCCATTTTATCCCATTTAACTTCATTTTATCCCATTTCCCCTCATTTTATCCCATTTCCCCTCATTTTATCCCATTTTTCCTTCATTTTTATCCCATTTTCCTCCATTTTATCCCATTTCCCCTCATTTTATCCCATTTTCCTCCATTTTATCCCATTTCCCCTCATTTATCCCATTTTCCTCCATTTTATCCCATTTCCCCTCATTTTATCCCATTTTCCTTCATTTTATCCCATTTTTCCTTCATTTTATCCCACTTTCCTTCATTTTATACCATTTTCCTCCATTTTATCCCATTTAACTTCATTTTATCCTATTTCCCCTCATTTTATCCCATTTCCCCTCATTTTTATCCCATTTTCCTTCATTTTATCCCATTTTCCTCCATTTTATCCCATTTCCCCTCATTTTATCCCATTTTCCTCCATTTTATCCCATTTCCCCTCATTTTGTCCCATTTTCCTTTCATTTTATCCCATTTCCCCCCATTTTTATCCCATTTCCCCTCATTTTGTCCCATTTCCCCTCCATTTTATCCCATTTCCCTCCATTTTATCCCATTTTCCTTCATACCTTCATTTTATCCCACTTTCCTTCATTTTATACCATTTTCCTCCATTTTATCCCATTTAACTTCATTTTATCCCATTTCCCCTCATTTTATCCCATTTCCCCTCATTTTATCCCATTTCCCTCATTTTATCCCATTTCCCTCATTTTATCCCATTTTCCTTCATTTTATCCCATTTTCCTCCATTTTATCCCATTTCCCCTCATTTTTATCCCATTTTCCTCCATTTTATCCCATTTCCCCTCATTTTATCCCATTTCCTCCATTTTATCCCATTTTTCCTTCATTTTATCCCATTTTCCTTCATTTTATCCCACTTTCCTTCATTTTATCCCATTTTCCTCCATTTTATCCCATTTCCCCTCATTTTATCCCATTTTCCTCCATTTTATCCCATTTCCCCTCATTTTATCCCATTGTCCTCCCATTGTCCCAATTTTTGCCCCATTTCCCCTCCTTTTTCCCCTCCTTTTCCCCCCATTTTCCTGTCCCTTTTCCCCCAATTTCCCCCATTTCCCCCCCTTTTTGCCCCATTTCCCACCCCATTCCCCCATCCCTTTTCCCCCCGTTTTCCTGTCCCTTTTCACCTCCATTTCTGCCCCATTTTCCCCTCATTTTCCCCCCTTTTTGCCCCCATTTTCCTGTCCCCTTTCCCACCTCCTCCCTGTCCCCTCCTCCCGCCATTTTCTGTCATGGCCGCCCCCCATCTCCTCCCCCTTCCCCCCCATTTCCCCTCCCCATTTCCCCTCCATTTTCTCCCCCCTTTCCTGTCCCATTTCCTCCCTCTTTTCTCTCCCATTTTCCACCCTTTTTGCCCCATTTTCCTGTCACCTTTTCCACGTTCTTCATCCCCCCCCCGCCGCCATTTTGTCCCCTGTCCATGCACCCATTCCTGCTTCCTCTTCCCCCTTTCTCCTCCATTTTCCCTCTTCCTTCCCCATTTCCCCTCATTTTATCCCATTTCCCCTCATTTTATCCCCTTTTCCCCTCATTTTATCCCGTTTTCCTCCATTTCCCTTCATTTTCTGCCCCATTTCCCCCTTCATTTTTCCATCACCTCTCCCTGTCTCCTCCTCCCGCCATTTTCTGTCATGGCCGCCCCTCACCTCCTCCCTCCTCCTTCCCCCATTTCCCATCCCCATTTCCCCCCATTTCCCCTCATTTTATCCCCATTTCCCCTCATTTTATCCCCTTTTCCCCTCATTTTATCCCCTTTTCCTCCATTTCCCTTCATTTTCTGCCCCATTTCCCCCCTCATTTTCCATCACCTCCTCCCTGTCCCCTCCTCCCGCCATTTTCTGTCATGGCCGCCGCTCACCTCCTCCCTCCTCCTTCCCCCCATTTCCCCTCCATTTCCCTTCATTTTCTCCCTATTTTCCATCCCCATTTTCCACCCTTTTTGCTCCCATTTTCCATTCCCATTTCCCCTCCCCTTTTCCTCTCAATTTCTGCCCCATTTTCCTCCATTTTTTACCCTTTTTGCCCCATTTCACCTCCATTTTCCCTCCCCTTTTCCCCTCATTTTCCTCCATTTTCCACCCTTTTTGTGCCCATTTTCCACCTTTTTTGTGCCCATTTCCCCCCTTCTTGCCCCCATTTCCCATCCCCATTTCACCTCCATTTTCCCTCCCCTTTTCCCCCATTTTCCACCCTTTTTGTGCCCATTTTCCCACCCTTTTTGCCCCCATTTCCCATCTCCATTTGACCTCCATTCCCCATTTTCCTCCATTTCCCATCCCCATTTCACCTCCATTTTCCCTCCCCTTTTCCCCCCATTTTCCATCCTTTTTGTGCCCATTTTCCACCCTTTTTGCCCCATTTCCCACCCCCATTTCACCTCCATTTCCCACCCCTTTTCCCCCCATTTTCCACCCTTTTTGCCCCCATTTCCCACCCCCATTTCACCTCCATTTTTCCTCCCTTTTGCCCTAATTTTCCACCCTTTTGTGCCCATTTTCCACCCTTTTGCCCCCATTTCCCACCCCCATTCCACCTCAATTTTCCACCCCCTTTTCCCCCCATTTTCACCCTTTTTGTGCCCATTTTCCAGCCTTTTTGCCCCCATTTCCCACCCCATTTCACCTCCATTTTCCACCCCCTTTCCCCCCATTTTCCACCCTTTTGCCCTCATTTTCCACCCTTTTTGTGCCCATTTTCCACCATTTTTGCCCCCATTTCCCATCCTTTTTGTGCCCATTTCCCCCCCATTCCACCTCCATTTCCCCCCCCATTTCCCCCCCCGTTTTCCTGCCCCCTTTCCCCCCCCCCATCCCGGACACAAGCAATGGCTCCCCCGGCCATGGTGCTTTATTCCCCCCCCCGTTCATCCCTCGGGGTCGGCGCCGTCGGCGCGGGCCGCGGCACAGTATGGCGCGGGGTAGCGGATGAAGAGCCAGTCCTCCTCCTTCTTGAGCCAGCGCAGGAGCTTGGTGAGCACCGCGATGGCGCCCGCCTTGCTCACCAAGGGGCTGAAGCAGCCGTAGAGCTCGAACTTGGGGGTCACCTGCGGGAGCAGCGCCGGCGTTAACCGGGGCCCAATGATGGCATCGACCCTGTTAACCCAGGTCCCTAATGATGGCATCGACCCCATTAACCTGGGGCCCAATGATGGCATTGAGCCCGTTAACCTGGGGCCCAATGATGGCATCGACCCCGTTAACCCTGGTCCCTAATGATGGCATCGACCCCGTTAACCTGGGGCCCAATGATGGCATTGACCCCGTTAACCTGGGGCCCAATGATGGCATTGAGCCCGTTAACCTGGGGCCCAATGATGGCATCGACCCCGTTAACCTGGGGCCCAATGATGGCATCGACCCCGTTAACCTGGGGCCCAATGATGGCATCGACCCCGTTAACCTGAGGCCCAATGATTTCATCGACCCCGTTAACCTGGGGCCCAATGATGGCATTGACCCCGTTAACCTGGGGCCCAATGATGGCATCGACCCCGTTAACCTGGGGCCCAATGATGGCATCGACCCCGTTAACCTGGGGCCCAATGATGGCATCGACCCCGTTAACCTGAGGCCCCAATGATTTCATCGACCCCGTTAACCTGGGGCCCAATGATGGCATTGACCCCGTTAACCTGGGGCCCAGTGATGGCATCGACCCCGTTAACCTGGGGCCCAATGATGGCATCGACCCCGTTAACCTGAGGCCCAATGATTTCATCGACCCCGTTAACCTGGGGCCCAATGATGGCATCGACCCCATTAACCTGGGGCCCAATGATGGCATTGACCCCGTTAACCCTGGTCCCTAATGATGGCATCGACCCCGTTAACCTGGGGCCCAATGATGACATCGACCCCATTAACCTGGGGCCCAATGATGGCATCGACCCCATTAACCGGGGGCCCAATGATGGCATTGACCCCGTTAATCTGGGGCCCAATGATGGCATTGACCCCGTTAACCTGGGGCCCAATGATGGCATCGACCCCATTAACCCTGGTCCCTAATGATGGAGTTAAGCCCCTGTTAACCCTGGTCCCTAATGATGGCATCGACCCCGTTAACCCTGATCCCTAATGATGCCCCCCCCGTTAACCCTGATCCCTAATGATGCCCCCCCCCATTAACCCTGGTCCCTAATTATGCCCCCCCCCATTAACCCTGGTCCCTAATGATGGCATCGACCCCATTAACCCTGGTCCCTAATGATGGCACTGACCCCGTTAACCCTGGTCCCTAATGATGGCATCGACCCCATTAACCCTGGTCCTGACCCCAACCCCGTTAACCCTGGTCCCTAATGATGGCATCGACCCCATTAACCCAGGTCCCTAATGATGGCATCAACCCCATTAACCTGGTCCCTAACGATGCCCCCCCCAACCCCTTTAACCCTGGTCCCTAATGACCCCCCCCGTTAACCCCGCTCCCTCCCACACCCCCTTTCCCCCCACCTCACCCATGCCAACAGCGTCTCCTTCTCGGCCACGTGGTAGAGGAGGCGCAGGGGCCGGTGCGGGCTGTGCACGCGGCTGTGCAGGTAATGGTAGAGGTCGAAGAGCCGCTGCTGCTCCTCCTCGCTGCTGTAGGGCTCCTCCAGCTCGGGGCTACACCCGGGGACGGGGGCATCACCCCCAGCGTCAGACACACAGTGGGGTGCCCCCCCCCAAAACCCCCTTTATTCCCTCCCCATTCCCTACCTTGTAAACTGCGGCAGCTGCTGCATCTCTTCGGGCCCTTCCAAAGGCTTGTAGAGGAAATGCCGGAGCTCGGGAGCGCCGGGGCGAGCGGGGCCGTATCCTGCTCCCCCCTTGACGGCGGCGCTCAGCTCCCGCAGCCACCCTTGGGCCCTCAGCGCCTCTTCCAGCTGCCTCCGCACCCGGCCGCCGCGTAGAAGCCTTCACGCTCGGTGGACAGCAGGATGAGCCTCACGCCATGGCCGTCGTCACCGTCACCGTCGTCGTCGTCGCCCAGCGTCGCCGCGTAGGCGTAGAAGTACCCGTCGGGGTTGAAGCGGGGCAGGCACACGGGGGTCCACACCTCGCCCGCGCCCACGCCGCTCGCCAAGAGGTTGAGCAGGAGGTGGAGGTCGCTGGCACACAAGCGGCCTCCTTCAGCCAGCGCCCGCTGCCGCGCCGCCGTCACCAACCTGCCACGGGCGGCCAGCAAGGCCAAGGCGGGCGCGGGGACGGCGGCGGCGGCGGCGCGGCGCAAGGCGCCGGATAGGGCTCGCCGGAGAGGCGCCGGTAACGGCAAGCACCGGGCGGCCCCCAGCAAGAGGCGGCCGTCGGCGGCGGCGCCGGCCAGCAGGCGGTCGAGGACGGCTTCGGCGCCGGCGAGCAGGCGGCGGAGGTCGTAGCCGCGGCGGCGGGCGAAGACGCGGCTGATGCCGCCGCGCGTCAGCAGCTCAGGATCTGCTCGTGCACGAAGGCCAGCTCGCGGCGGAGCTGCGCCGCCGACTGCCGCGTGCGCGACACCGACACCAGCAGCAGCGGGCCCCGCTGCTCGAACACCAGCGTGCGGTCCTCTGTAACGGCAGGTAAGGGACGGGGATTATGGGGTTATGGGGCGGTTGTGGTATAGAGCCGTGGGGTGGGGTGGGAAGGACCTGAAGGGTAGCCAGGTCCAAGCGTTAGACCATGTATTAGGGGTGGGTTGTTAGAGGGGGTGGTTGTTTTGGGGGGTGTTGGTTGTATCAGAGACCCATAGAATGGGTTGGGTTGGGAAGGACCTGAAGGGTAGCCAGGTCCAAGCGTTAGACCGTGTATTGGGGGTCGGTTGTTAGAGGGGTGGTTGTTTTGGGGGGGTTGGTTGTATCAGAGACCCATAGAATGGGTTGGGTTGGGAAGGACCTGAAGGGCATCCAGTTGCAACCATTGGACTGTGTATTAGGGGTGGGTTGTTAGAGGGGGTGGTTGTTTTGGGGGTGTTGGCTGTATCATAGACCCATAGAATGGGTTGGGTTGGGAAGGACCCGAAGGGTATCCAGGTCCAAGCGTTAGACCGTGTATTAGGGGTGGGTTGTCAGAGGGGGTGGTTGTTTTGGGGGGTGTTGGTTGTACCATGGGCCCATAGAATGGGTTGGGTTGGGAAGGACCTGAAGGGCATCCAGTTGCAACCATTGGACTGTGTATTAGGGGTCGGTTGTTAGAGGGGGTGGTTGTTTTGGGGGTGTTGGTTGTACCATAGACCCATAGAATGGTTTGGGTTGGGAAGGACCTGAAGGTCTTCCAGTTCCAACCATCAGACCATGTATATGGGGTGGGTTCTTAGAGGGGGTGGTTGTACCTGGGGTCAGTCATTGGGGGTGGTGGTGGCTGTATTGAAGATCAGCTGTTAGAGGGGGTTGTTGTTATGGGGGGGATTCGTTGTACCTGCGCTCAGCTGTCAGAGGGGCTGCTTTGGGAGGGCACACTTATGGGGCACGGGGTTAGGGGGGGGACGGACTCTCCTTTACCCATGGCCACCAATAGGGGCCAGAGTTACCGGGGCGCTCTCCCTACATGGCTTTGATGGTGTCCCGCCCCCCAAATCCCCCCATACCAGAGCAGATGGCCCGGATGGCGTTGCCCCCGCTCTGGATGAAGGACACCAAAGCCATCATGACGCCCATGGTGGCCGCCAAGGCCTCCTCGTTGCCGTGCCGGGAGTAGATGGGCTTCCCGGCCTCGCTCAGCACGAAGACGTGTTTGCGGCGGCACCGCCACCCGGCCGCCGTCACGTCCTCGTCGGCGCCGCGCCGGCACCACAGCGACGACGTGGCCGCCGTCACCGCCGTCACCTCCTCCTCTTCCTCCTCCTCTTCCTCTTCTTCCTCCATGGGGGGACACTGGAGGGATGCCGCCGCCGCCGCCTCCTCTTCCTCCATGGGGGGACACCGGGGGGATGCCGACGCCGCCGTCACCTCCTCCTCTTCCTCCTCCTCTTCTTCCTCCATAGGGGGACACCGGGGGGACGCCGCCGCCGCCGTCGCCTCCTCCTCTTCCTCCTCCATGGGGGGACACCGGGGGGACGCCATCACCTCCTCCTCCTCCTCCTCCTCTTCCTCCTCCCCATCGCCCGCATCCGGATGCGCCGAGCTCGGGCTCTGGGGGGCTCCATCGCGGTGCACGGGTGGAGAAGAGGGAGGTGTCGCCATGGCGACCTGCGGGCGGTAGCACGTGCGCCTGCAAAGCCACGCCCCCCCGTAAGCCACGCCCACAGCTTTTGCTCCCTCCCCTCCAAGCCACGCCCCAGGTTTCGACCAATCAGGAGCACGCCCTTGGGCTCACAGGCCACGCCCCCCTTACCCCCCCCAATTTCTCCCTCTACCGCCCCCA